TGGAATCTCTTTCCATCTTCTGCCTGAGGATGAGCTCCCACGTGTATCTCAAGATTTGTTAATCCCAAGCAGAATTAGCTGCCTCATTTTCTGCCTTTCCAGAGCCCCTTTATTTCTTCCATAGATCATTACATTATTTAAAAATAGTTGTAGATTAATGAATTGTAGGAGTTAGGAGCTCTGAGTTGGCATGTCCTTCAATCTCTGGGGCCCTCGGTTTCCTCTTCTGTCTGAGCTCTAGGTGCCTCTGGTTCTAAGCTCTTCCTGACTGATATACAATACCTGGAGCTGCTGGATGGGGGGTGAGCTTAAACCCAAAACTTCTAAGGGAAAGAAAGCTTTGTGAAAACTTCCGCTCTGGTTTCCCACCTTCCATGAGCCACAGGGCTCTACAGGGAGGGGCACTGACTGTACTTAAAACACAACTGATTGTGTTACAAAATAACAAGAGGAGAGCCAAGACTTTGGAGGCAGCCAGCCCAGGACCCCATGAACTCTGGTTGCAGCCCTGACTCCACAGCTGACCCTCCTATGGAGCGCCATAGCACAGCAACTTGGTGATGGCCAGCCCCTGACTTCAAGGTCAGCCAACAGGCAGCGCTGGGATGTGGGTGGTCAGCTGTCCCGGTTAGTAGGTGCCACACTCTTCTGACAGATCATTTATTCATTAAACAAGTGCTTTCTGAGCATTGCTTTTATGCCAGGCTCTGCTGGACACAGGATATGCGGTGAGCCAGAAATGGTCTCTACAGGGAGCCTGCAGTCTACTGGGCAAGCACATGAAACAATCACTAAATAATCAACTGTCATACCATGAAGAAAAAGTATAGGAAGCTTGGGGAGCATAAAATAGAAAGATCTAATTTAGATTGGCAAGGGGATTTCTTTCAAATTTTCTTTGAGAAAATGATGTTTAAGACCACAATTAATTGGGTTAAGAAAGACGTGGGTGAAGAAGGGGGAAGAGTATAAGGGGGGGCTACTGGGGCTGAAGCATACAGCAGGGAGGGTGACTCGTGGCAGGAACAGGAGGCTAGAGAGATTGGCAAGGCCAGATTATGCAGGACCCTGTGCTTCACGGTAAGATGTTTGGGTTTGGGTTTTACCCTAAGAGTCATGAAAGCCAAGTGCAGAGCTTTGACCAGGAATATGTGATCTGATTTACCCTTCAAGGAAATTGCTCTGGCCACCTGGTGCAGGGAAGGCGGGCGAGGAACAAGAGTAGATGTGAGGAGAGTGGCTCAAAGGCTAATCTAATCATCCACGTGGTTTGGACTAGAAGTGGCAGCAAAAAGATAAAAAGGAAAGGATGGATTTGAGGCCTATTTTGGAGGGAGAATCAATGAGGCCTGATGGACTGGAGGTGGGGGAGGAGGAAGAGGGAGGACATGGGTGATTCTATGATTTCTACCTTGGGTGAGTGGTGGTGCTACTTAATGAGATGGGGAAGACTGTCAGGGGAGCAGACTTAGGAGGACATCAAGAACCCAGTTTTGGAAATTTAAATGATAATTTGAAGTTTGGAAAGTACTTTAGATTACTTAGAGACTACAAAGTGAGAAGACAACCCAGAACAGAGCCCCAAGAATTTTTCCATTTGGAGCCTTGTGGAGAAGAAGTGATCGTAGAGGCAGGAGAAAAACCGGGAGAGTGAGGTGTTGAGAAAGCCAAGTGACAATGACAAGCGCCACTCAAGGAAAGAGTGATGAACAATGTTGGGGGCCACTGAGAAACCATGTGAGGTGAGGACTGCAGCGAGTCCATTGGATTCTGCTTTGAAGAGTCCTATCTTAGTCTGAGAGCAGGGGCAGAGTTAAGTGGGGACATCAGACCATATTGGGTTGAAAAATGAATGGAAGGTGAGGACGTGAGAGAGCATGTGCACACCAGCCTCTGGAGGGCAGTAGATTGTGTTGGTTCTGGTAGCAAGAATTCAGGAGAGCAGCTAATTAGTGTAGTGAGCTCTCTAAAGAAATGGGAGAGGTGGTACCCAGATACCCAGTGACTTATCTAAGAAGCAATGTCATGTAGTGGATAAGAGAAACTGCCTGGGTTCAAATCCTGCCTCTGCCACAAATTAGCTGTGTAACCTTTGGCAAGTCATGTAATACCTTAGAGTCTTAAGAGTCATTTCCTCATCTGCAAAATGGGGATAACAATAGTAATTACCTCCGAGGACTGTTTGAGAAGATTAAATTTGTTAAATTGTATGAACTATCTAAAGTAGTGCCTTGCACATATTAAGGGCTGTTTAAGTGTTTGCAATTATTATCGTTTTTTAAAAAAGGGGAGGGGAGGAGAAGAATAGGATGGGTGCAAATGAGCATAGGTTTGTAGGTTTGTTACTTTGGGGAAAACGAGGCCGTTCCCCTCTGATGGCTTCTATTTATGAAGCACGAGGCAGTAGCTGAGCGCATGTGTGTGGCAAGTGGGCTGCATGCAGATAGGCAGAAGCAGACGTTTATTTCCTCAGCATCTCCCTGTTTGATATAGAGAAAAGCAAGCAGGAGAGGGCATGTCCTCAAAGTAACGTGAAATCAGCTCACTCTGGTTCCAGGAACTGCTGGGACCAAAATTCCTTCTTACAAATAGGCTATTGGCAGCTGTGGCCCTTGGACCTCTCCTCCTAGCCTCCTGCCTTCCATGGCCTCCTCTGCTCCCCTGCTCTAACAAGCCTTCCTGGGTTTTTATGTCATGGAAGGTAGCTTTTCTTTCTGCGGTCAGGAGGTTCTACTGGTCTTTCCTGTTGATCTTACTTAATGATTAATGATACAGCCTTGGCCTCTTCTAGCTGTCAGAATTTTTCAGGATCTCATTTATTTAGTGACTTCGTGGAAGGGAAAGGTAATGGAAACACTCCCTGTACACCAGAGTTTCTCAGTCTAGGTTGTACATTCGAATAACCTGGAGGGCTTTTAAAAATTCCTGTGCCCAGGCTGCACCTTGGATCAATGGAATCAGAATCTCTGGGGATGGGATCCCAACATCAATAATTTTTAAATCTGTCCAGGTGATTCGACTGTACAGCAGGAGGCTGTGTTTGCACATGGGCCTCTCTATTGCTAAATGTCTACAAAAGAGGGGAACAATTAGCAACTACTGAAGCATCTCCTTCATATAAACAGTTAATTACTTAATTGGTTCAAGATTCTATCTCTGCTTTTGTGATATAAGATCATGACAACCATGCACGGCCTAATCAAGATTTTGTGCACGGGATGTATGACTGTGTCCAAGTGAATGTTACAAGTGCATTGGGGTGAGATCTCAAGGGCAGCACAGCTGCTTCATGTGCCCTAAAGTCTCTTAACAAAGGCAAAACATCCTACTTAGCACACACATGAAACAATGAAACTGAAAAGGAACCAATTATTATATTTTCTTTCTCATTGCTTTCATTTGTCTGTTTCTCGCTCTAGCTTTGACACACATTAACTACTAGTCAGGCTTGTTTTGTTTTATGGTTTTTGTTTATTTGTTCAGGTTAAAGAGAATATTGCAACCAACCGCCAATCAAATAGGACTGGATCACTTTCAAGTGACACATTACTCACCTTGACAAAGAGCTCCTAAGAAGTTTGCATTGCGTGCTAGGTCTAGCTAAGCCCAACCCATTCAGCCAGAGCTCACATGAAACTGAGCACATGAAACGGCCTAAGGGCTGGGCAGTTTGAGAACAGGTCTGGCTCAGTCCTACACCTTGAGAAAATGAGAGCCGGTCCGAGGACCCTAATGATCATGGCTGCTGTTTGCACAAATTCTCTAAGCGGTTTCCTCTTATTGTTATTAATAATAAGAACATCTTATTATTCTTAACTGTGAAACAAAGCAAACATGATTGATGGCTCCTGTCTCAGGAGGCCCAATTTTCTAGGCCAGCAGTGGCCTATACTGTAATGTGATGTGAGAATTCAAATAAGGGGGAAATGAGACATTTCCCCCAAAGACGTCAAGGAAATTGCCCAAGTCCTATGGAGAGCTCCCCCAGTCCAATCGCCAAGAGATTTCAGGGGCACTGAGCACCGAGGCTGCCAGGTACCAAGCCCTCAGAGGGCACAAAAGAGAACAAGTACTTGGAATTGAGGCAGGATGATTCTCACCTAAAGGGAGCTAAACAAAAGAAGTCTGAGAAGTTTACAAGGGTTTCTAAGCTCAGCCTCTGATTACAAGGAAGTGGATGAGGTTCCTATAAATAAATTGTATTACAAAACTGCCAGGAAGTGAGCCAGCTGGTTGGGGCCCTCTGTTCATTACTTACGACTTTAGGGAATTCCCAAATAATGAATTTTGGGGTAACAGCGGGACTTTTTCTTTGTGAACCTACTGAGAACCCATTAAAAATAAATAATGCTCTATGGTAATGGGCTGGAGATGGTCCAGCAGTCCTTGACTTAAGCCCAAGGGCCCAGCCCAAACAGCAGACACTGCTCCTGGCTTACCCAATTGGGATGATGGCCATGAAGGAGAGAAAGGAGGAGAGAGCAAAGCAGGCACCGACGAACTTTTCCAAGGTGAGCTGATAGATCTCATTATACAGTGTAGATGTCACCACCCACGTCAGTGTCAAGAACAGCTGCAGGACAACAAACACCTTTCCTGTGGAAGAAACAGAGGTTACCAAGGTGTACTGCTGTCCCTTCTATGTTCCCAGTTAGCTGAGTCTCTGGGGAGCTCTCAGGAGACCCCTTGCCCTTCCCAGGACTCCCTGTCAGTCTTCATGGCTCCTATCACCAGGACTCCTGCTTCCATCCAGCTGGATCTACCTGGGACCTGTGGATGGTCGTGTCTTCCTTTGACTGTGGCTTTTCAGTGACTGACTTTCTGAGTCTTTCCCACACTCCCGTTTTCACTGGATGGACACCAGTGTGTTCCATCCAGAGTATTTGCAATTGCTTCTGGAACTGTTTTATGTGCCTTCTGCAAGCCCGAACCCTCTTCCTCAAGCCGAGCAGCTCTGAAACAGCCCAGAAAGAGAACTTCAGAGAGGTTTGTTTTACTCACCATAAGAGGAGTCCTTTATGAGTTTGGACATTGCTGATCGGATGGTTGTGACAGGGATGAGAGCGAATAGCATGATGGATCGAGCTGGAAAGAAATCACACAAGAACACGCCTTACTGTAGCCCAACCTTGGCCAAGGAGTAAATTAGAATAAAGCAAAAGTCTCACTTAGAATTTCCTCTCCCCATTACTCCTATGTGGTTTTCCCTGGAAGAAATGGTTTCTCTGCTGGCAGACTCATGCCCTCCCTGGGGCAGGCTGACTCCCTGAGCTCTGACGGAGCTGTAGATGCTGCAGACCCATTTGCAAGGTGACAAGGCACAGCTGACATAATGACAGATGGTGAAAGGTGTCTTCATTGGCCGTTTAGGTGGTTTCTAGGGAAGTGGAGTTGATGTCACTGAAGTGACTCGAGACGCCGCTCCTTGCCTCCCAAGAGAGGTGTCTGCCCTTGCAATTCACGAGCACCACTGCGAGACAGTTCCAGGGGCTTTGGAAAACTGCATCCAGAAATGTGTTCCACTTACACAGCTGCCACACACCCCTCCTTGCCTCAGGCTCCACTCATCATCCCAATGTGACGTGTCTGTGAGGGACGGGGGGTTAGAGGTGGTGAGAAGTGAAGGGGAGAGGAGTCCTCTGGCCTTTGCATATGGCCTGTTTGACTGGGAGCTGGCCAAAGGTAATCTTGCCATTTTGTTGGATGTTTTTCTGAGGTGTGTGACCTCAAGGGGACAGCCTCTGGTAACTGTCTAATTGTTCTTTCTAATATGTTAGCTACTTGCCATGTGTGGCTATTTAAATTAATATGAAATCAAATTTAAAATTCTATTCTTTAGTTGCACCAGCCACATTTCAGGTGCTCAATAGCCACACATGGCTAGTGGCTACTGTACTGGACCAAACAGATACAGAATGCTTCTATCATTGTTGAAAGTTCTCTTGGTGCATTGGTCTAGAGCTCTCTGCTTGTGGTTGTCCGAGTTGTGTCCTCACATAGAATCTTCATTCTTTTTCCTCAAGGAAATTTGTTATATGGGTTGAGGAAGGCATTTATGGAGAATTTTTATTCATTTTTAAAAAGCCTTTGGTTGGCCTGAAATGATTTTAATTAAGGGACTTTTTCAGTTGGGTTACTTCATATTTTAAAATTGGGGAGAAAAAAACCCAACCCCATCCTGAAGCCTCTTCAACCAACACCAGGCACCACTGACCACCCCTCCCTCGACCTCCTAGAGCTGTGGCCATCACTCTGGTAGCATTTCAATGGGCAATACAGTCAACACAAAGCACAGTACAACACAGATAAACTCAAGTGCACATACCCTGTCTCCCTTGAACCTCCTAAGTAGCAGGTCTAATCCCTGGTGCTAAGCTGGGACTCGTAGGCCACAGCATTCCTGCTGTCAACCGTATGACTCGGGGCCAGCACCATCCTTGTCCTGCCTCGCCAAGAATGCCAGACTCACCAATGTAGAACATGTATGTCTCTTTCGCAAAAGCCAGGAGGAGGGCTCCCGACCCAAAGGAGACCATCCCAATCATGATCATGGTGGTGTCCCGGAAGCAGCGGGAGAAGGCCAGGACGCCCAGGAAACTGGTGATGAAGATCATGTACCCTGCGGCCATACCATAGCCCACCTGCACTTGGTTCCAGCTGAGAGGCTTCCTGAGCACAAAAAGGGGCATCACATCCACTGTGCCCACCACTGCCAGGTCGTAGATGATGGCACCCACAAAGAGCAGGGCAATAATGATTTTTTGGGGCTTTACTTTCCCAGGAGATAGAGGGTGCTCCACCACATTCTGCTTGTCTGGCTGATCAGGGTCCAGGGTGCGATATGTGCCAACCGTGCCAGACACTGTATCCACCGTGGGGCGTGCCTTGCTGGGTGTGGCCACCGACTCAGGTACCTTCAGGACCAAGAGACTGTAGAAAAGGGCAAAAGTGGCACAGCTCACGCTACAGGCTGTCAGCACCAGGCCCTGCCTGGATTGCCCAGGAAACTGCTTGAAGAGGTGCCCGGAGACCATGCTCCCGCAGAATCCCCCCAAGCCCATGATCAGGTCAATAAAAATGAGGCGGACGGAGCGGCGGCCCTCAGAGGAGCCAAGGGATCCCAGGGCTATAACCCCGGACCAGTATGCCGAGAAGCCGCCGCACAGCCCGTTCACCGCCGCCGCCCAGTACATCACCTCCACGGGCCAGTCCCACAGCACCTTGAACAGTAGCCCGAGTCGGCTGAGCAGGATGCCTAGCAGGGCCACGCAGACGGAGATCTTGCGGTGGTAGCGGTCACTGAGCCAGCCCAAGCCGTAGGCCGACAGCAGGGGCGTCAAGCCTATCACGAGGTTGTAGATTATGTAGAAATTGGAGATAGCCTTCTGCTGTTGGTCCTCCACACCCTCCCGGGGCGACGGGCTGGTGCTGTGGTTGGAGGAGTTTTCGGCCCCAGCCCCGAAGGATGCCTTCACCACCAGGAGGAGTCCCGCGTCGTAGAGGGAACCGGCCACCTGGGTGGAGGCCACCACGGGCTCAATCCAGGTCCTCACATGTAGGCGAGGCAGGGAGCCCCCGCACGGGCAGGTGGCCTTGGGGCCCATGGGGTCTCTCTGATAGGGGATGGAGGGGCTTGCTCGCTGGTCGCTGCTCCGCAGAGCCTGGGCTCAGTCTCAGAGCACGAGTGTGAGCTGTGCGTCGGGGTGCGCGCAGGAGAGGGGCTGGCGGAGCCGGGCGCTGGGCGCGTGTGACAGCAACCAGCTCAGCGGCCAAGTGACCTCCCCGGCCGCGGCCACTCCTCCCCGGCTAAAAACGGCCGCACTCCGCCCCCGCCCCCACCCACGCCCCCACCTGTGGAGTAGGGCTGGCGGCAGTCCAGGGCAGCCAGGAGAGAAGTAACGCAAGACGAGTGTTGGCCCCCTGCGTCCCCACCCTCTGGCCGCCGCGTCACGCTGCTTCGGCAAGCGCGTCCGCCTGACCAGCTGAAGATTTCCCCACAGCCAGGCGTGCCCGGACTTCCTTCAGGTCCCTGGGCATCTTCCCCTGGTCCTGTCACTGCACAGGCTGACACACACGCACCCGTTCCCCAAGGCAGGAGGCAAAAGTCTGATGTCCCTGGAAAGGAGGTTTAGGCGAGGGGTGGGGTGCCTAGGATTCTGCCTGGGATCAGTGCTGGCGTGTGGGGATTTTATTTGTTGGGTTTAAAAGCAACAGGGACCCATGTATGTGCTGGGTAGCACAGACACTGAGAGAAGTGAAAACTCAGGAGTGCTAATATCTCTTTGAGATCCTGATTTCAATTCTTTTGGATAAATACCCAGCAGTAGGATGCTGGGTCATATGGTTAATTCTACTATTAATTTTTTAGAAAAGCCCTGTACTGTTTTCCACAGAAGCTGCGCCATTTTGCGTTCCTATCAGCAGTGCACAAGGGTTCTAATTTCTCACATCCTCACCAACACTCTCCTTCCTTCCTTCCTCCCTCCCTCTCTCCCTTACTCCTTTCTTCCCCCCTTCCTTCCCTCCCTCCCTTCTTTCTCTCTCTTTCCTTCCCTCCTTCCCCCTCCTTTCTCTTTGTCTTCCTTCCTTCCTTCCTTCCTTCCTTCCTTCCTTCCTTCCTTCCTTCCTTCCTTCCTTCCCTCTCTCCCTCCCTCCCTCCCTCCCTCCCTCCCTCTCTTCTTCCCTTCCTCCCTCCCTCTGTCCCTGGCTTCCTCTCTTCTTTCTTTCATTTTTTAAAGAATATCCATTCACACAGGGGTGAGGTAATATCACATTGTGTTTTGATTTACATTTCCCTGAGGATTAGTGATGTTGAGTATCTTTTCATATGCTTGTTGGCCATTTTTATATCTTCTTTGGAGAACTGTCTATTCAAGTCCTTAGACCATTTTTCAATCAGGCTATTAGTTTTGTTTTTGTTTTACAACTGAATTGTAGGAGTTCCTTAGATATTTTGGAGATTAACCCCTTATCAGACATGTAGTGTGCAATATTTTCTCCCATTCTGTAGGCTGCCTTGTCACTCTGTTGATTGTTTCCTTTGCTGTATAGAAGCTTTTTAATTTGTTGTAGTCCCACTTGTTTATGTTCAAGAAACAACCTAAATGTCCATTGGCAGTTGAATGAATAAAGAAAATGTGGTGTATACATACAATTGAATACTATCCAGTCTTTAAAAAGAAGGAAATCCTGCAATTTTTGACAACATGGGTAAACTGTGAGGGCATTATGCTAAGTGAAATAAGCCAGTTATAAAAAAGACAAATACTGCATGATTTCACTTATATGAGGTATCTAAAATAGTCAAATTCATAGAATCAAAGAGTGAAATGGTGGTTGTCAGGGCTAGGTGGGTGAGGGGCAAATGGGGAATTACTAATCAACAGGCATGAAATGTCTGTTATGCTAAATGAATAAGCTCTAGAAATCTGCTGTACAACATTGTACCTACCCATAGTCAACACTAAGGTATTGTACACTTACAAATTTGTTAAAAGGGTAGCGCTCATGTTAAGTGCTCTTACCACAATTAAAAAACAAGCAAACATAAAACCCTAAATAAACAAAACCTCAAGAGCAGCTAGGCTCATCTCTTCCTCTAAGCCAAAGGCCTCTTGGAAAAAAGTCCTGCTTTGAGCACCTGCAGTGGTGGGCCCACAGCCCTCATGGGCCCCAGTGTGGGCTCCAGCCTCCAACCCCAGGGCCAAAGGAGAGAAGGGGAGGTCCTGGCAGCCATAGGTGTCCCTCCAGATGATAAAACTGGGCTCTGGCAGGCAGAAGACCCCACTGGCAAGAACGGAGTCACCAGTGCCCTCTGTTCCTGAGTAAAGTCCTCGGGACACTTTCTACTTCTTCAGGGTTGCTCTTCTTCCGTCTCATGGGCTCACTGCCTTGGGCTGGGCTGAGACCTCTGCTTCCCAGGCTGCCTTGCTTCCTCCTTTAAGTACATACTTTTGCAAAGAGGACCAGGGTGATGAATGGTGCAGGGGCAAAGATGGTCATGTCCAGGGATGGAGAGTCAAAACATACAACTTCTCTCCTTGTCTGTTCAACCCCAACATAGCCATGGCAGCATAGATGGGCAGGAACCCAAAGTCACACAAGGGAAACTCAAGTCTATAGGGAGAGTTTATAAAGCCAAATGGATAATGTACTTGTCAGTGTAGGGACTAGACTTTAAATGATTTTCTGTAGATATGTGTCCTTTAGGTAGTTTTTAGGTGAGCTATAATCTTCTCTACTCTTCCCTGTCACTGCTCAGCCAGCTGTGTCCAGGCCCAGATAACTCTGCCTTCTGCAAAGAGAAAGACTCACTTAGTTTACCCCTTCAAGATGTGCCCTGTGGAGCTGGCGTGGCAGTCCCCTCAAAGTTTCCTCACTTCCTCCTTCGTCCCCCTCACTTAGGCCCATCTTGGGAGGTGCTGGTTTCACCCAACCCATGCCTGGCTCTCCCACTCCATTCCTAACCCTGTTTTTCCAGAGACTGCAGCAAAGCAGTTCAACCAGTCTGTTCCCATGAGGGGCAGAGGCTCCAGGGAAGGTTATGGGGGAAGATGGTCTTCAGTAATCAGATACTGCCCTGAAAACAACAGTCTGAACCAGACAGCCCACTTTAGCCATTTAATCAAGGTGTCTGTCTATTCTTAGGGCTGCAGACTCTAGAGCAGCGGTCCTCAACCTTTCACAGGGGTCGCCTAAGACCATCGGAAAACACATATTTTCGATGGTCTTAGGAACCGAGACACCGCCCCTCTATCCGTCTCCAGGCCCACATGCAGATACGCCCACATACGAGTACCCGGCGATCCCTGTGAAAGGGTCGTTCGACCCCCAAATGTGTAGCAACCCACAGGTTGAGAACCGCTGCTCTAGAGGGAAGCTTTTATCCTCTCTGGGAGGGTCCATGGTGTCTAAGTTCTTCCTATCCTCTTGAGAAACCAGGAAAATTTGAGGGGCCTCTGAGAAATTCACAAGATATAAGACCAGTCTAGTGGGAGGGGGTCATCATGATGTTAGCCAGCCCGGGAACCCTCCAGGTTTGGATCTGAATCCTCCGACCCAGAAATTAACTAGACCCAGGGCGGTCGGTGTCTCTCCCAGTTTAGACTACTCTGGTTTGGCTTACACTTTCATCATGACCTCATTACTCCCTCCATCTCTAAATGCAGGTCCCAGCTGAGTTAGTGCCTGGCCATCCTCTCTGACCTAGAGCACCAGCAGGGTATAGCCCTTGAGCCCTGACCCTGCCGCTTTAGTCTCTGTCTCAAGGCTTTATTTATTTATTTGATTCATTTCTTTTTTCTTTTTTAAAATTATTATTATTATTATTATTATTTATTTTTAAAATTAGTTTCAGGAGTACAACACAGTGCAATAATTATACTTTTTATCCCTCAAAGTGACCACCCCCGTCCCCCTATCTGCCGCTCCACTACCTCCAACCCGACATCATACATATCTATTACAGTTCCTTCGACTCCACTCCCACATTATACTCCACATCCCGTGACTATATATATATTAAATTATAGTTGACATGCAATATTATACAACATCAGCTTCAGGTGTACGGTGCAGTGGTCAGGCATCTACACCGTCCATAAAGTGGTCTCCCTAACAAGACATGTGCCATCTGACACCCTACAAAATATTTACAACCTTATTAATTATAGTCCCCAAACTGTCTTTCATATCTCTGTGGCAATATTGTACTTACCTATTTATGCTGTCTAATCCCTTCCCCTTCTCCCTCATCCCCACCCCCTCCCAACTAGCAACCATCAGTTTTTTCTTTATATCTCTGAGATTATTTCTGTTTACTTTGCTTGTTCATTCAGTGTTTTAGATTCCACATATAAATGAGATCATATGGTATTTGTCTTTCTCCGACTGACTTATTTTACTTAACATAATAGTCTCTAGTTCCATCCATATCGTTGCAAATGGTATGATTTCATTCTTCTTTATAGTGGAGTAACACCCCATTGTATAAATGTACCACAGTTTCTTAATCCAGTCGTCTACCGATGGGCATTTCGGTTGTTTCCAAGTCTTGGCTATTGTAAATAGCGCTGCAATAAACATAGGGTATTTTTTTGAATTAGTGTCTTGGGTTTCTCTGGATAGATACCCAACAGTGGAATTGCTGGGTCATACGATAGTTCAATTTCCAGTTTTTTGAGGTACCTCCATACTGATTTTCATAATGGCTGCACCAATCTGCAGTCCCACCAACAGTGCACCAGAGTTCCCTTTACTCCACAACCTCGCCAGCACTTGTTGTTTGTTGATTTATTGATGATAGCCATTCTGACCAGAGTGAAGTGGTATCTCATTGTGGTTTTTATTTGCATTTCTCTAATGATTAGTGAGGTTGAACATTTTTTCATATGCCTGTTGGCCATCTGTATATCCTC